TACGAAAACAACAAAATAAATTATTCACAAACAATGAAAAACTTTTCTACAGACAAATCAGTACCAAAACAAACACTGATACACAGCACAGTGGCACACCAACAGAAGAAGAACTCACAACTTATTGGTCTTCTCTCTGGTCCAATGCTGTTACACACAATGCTGATGCAGGTTGGATCGAACAGGAGAACAGAAACTTGCACAACATACCAACTATGCCCTGTGCTGAAATAAACATACACGACATCTGCTACGCTGTTAACAGAACACACAACTGGAAGACACCTGGGCCCTTAGTCTCGAGTTTTTCGTGTTATACTCGAACTGATGTCATCGAACTCACTCATGTTACTATGACTCACATAATCGGTAGTCTCGAGTTAGACTCTTCGAGCAAACTCAAAAGGCGAGCGGAAATATGTCATACTCACTTGTTTACGTTTATCGTTAAGCATAATGAGATTATTTACAATGCATCTGGGTTTGCGGCTATACTGATTCGACCAATCAACTTTACTATAACAAGTTGTAAACAAATCAACGTGAATTAGTTTGCACGTGTTGCTGTTACTTTTGTTATAGCGATAAAGAAAATGGAAACCTCCAATGCTTTATTTAAAAAGATCAGTGATGAACAGGAAGAAGTATTAGTCACATATATTGAAAACAAGAAGAAAATAAACTCTGGAAAATTTGACAACGAGTTTACTAAAAAAAAACAATTAGATACGTGGAAAGAGTTAGTCGAAAATTAAATGCGTTCTTTGAAGCAAAAAAATCCGTTTTGGAATGGAAAAAAGTACTTTAATTTAATCCTTTCTTCAGTTTTCTTCCTTGATCTGTTTCTTAAATTGTTCAACAAACTTAACACTTCTGATTAATAAATAATCTTAATATAGTGTCTATGCTCTTAGTAAATTATATGTATAAATTATTATCATTTTAATTCATTCTCTTTTTCTATGAATTATACTTCTTTTTAGTTTTGGAAAAATTTGCTGTATAATTTTATCAAATAAAATTTTTTTATTAGTGCTGGCTTGACATGAAGAGAAATGCGAAAGAGAAGGCATCGAGAATAAGAAACAACAGAGAAAAGACTAAGGGTGGTAGGGAATAAAATGAAAAATCATCTTCCTTACAAGAAAGGATTATTTCTATACTGGATGACACAGTAGTTTTGGGGCAGCAAAACTCTGTGGAATCTGAAGATGAAGAATTTTCAAACTTATTGCAGATTGAGGTGAATAATAATCTTTAGTCTTTATTCATTTTAAATTTCATGTGTTTTAAAGAATGTTATACTTCATTCTTTTTCTGTATATAATGGAGAGTATTAATAATAAGTTTTGAAATTCTATCAGTACTACTAATATCTCTGTTTATATTTTGAAAATGTAATTTATTATAATAGGAATCTACACTGCAACAGGAATAAATTCTATTTCTTATTCTGAACAGGGATAGTAT